AAGACGCGGACCACTGTGGTTCAGCTGTGGTTCCCGCATCTATGCCGCCCGACGTGTTCAAAGATGTCCGCGACGGCGCGGGGGATGATGCCGCGCTGCGCTCCATCGGGCGCCCCCTCCATGGTATGTGTCTTGCCGGCACCCGTGTGGCCTAGCCGCCAGGACGCGCCATCGAGAGAGGGGGTGCGGAGGTGCAGAGGTGGAGGCGGAGCGCGAGGCTCACCGTAGGCAATGATGGACGCGTTGAAGCCGGCGAGGGTGGAGGAGACGGCGGGCCGCGCCACCGCATCGTACACGGCCGCCTGCCCCTCCGACGGCGAGAAGGCCGCGTCGAATGTGAACGAGTACCGCGGGCCCGGCCCGAGCCCGTCGTCCGGCCACGCCGTCACCTGCGAGGAGACAGCGCGGCGTGGCTGCGGAGACTGCGGCAGCGGCCAGCAGCATGCAGCGGGCAGCATGCAGACGCGCCGCGCACAGCAGGCAGCGAGGTGTGTGCAGCGAGCGGTAGCACGCCGAGAGGCGAGAGAGGTGAGCCGGAATCTGCTGTGCTCACCTCGCCAGGAGCGCGCACGGTCAGCTCTTCGGTGGACACTTCGCGCGCGAGCGGAGGCCTCACGCGGACGGCCACCCGCACGGTCTCGGGCCAGTCCGCCGATGAGCTAGCCTCTGACGAGGCGCTGGACGATGATAGACGCCCGAGGGAGGCGCTCTCCACAGCGAGAACCACCATGTTCGGGCGCCTGTCCCAGGTCTACGTCTACACTCGTAAGAGTGTGATGTGCATCGAATAGGAATGTGGAAAAGAAAGTTTGAAGCGGCAGGTTGAAGTTGGTTTGAGTGCCCACGGGACTGGCGCGCACTGGCACTAACACAGGAGAAAAGAATTTTTCGCACACTTTTCCCCATAAGATGAGATTGCCAGATGAGAGTGGGGGGAGGACAGGCGAGCGACATTTGACGACGTCGGGGGTCACAATGATCAATGCGCAACATTGTTGTCTCTTTCTTTGTAGAAACCACGACGCGATCTTTGTCAAGCGCAACCAACTTCAACCTGCTGCTCCACGAGACGTTCGGCGGCGGCTTCTCGCCCACCGCCGTTCTCAAGCTGCGCCGCCTCGCGCGCAAAGTCGCGCGCGGCAGCGTTGACCGCACGGCCTACTCGCCCAAGTACTCGCTCTCTTTTATGTCCCACCAATTTGCAGAGCGCATCTCTCTCTCTGTTGTGCGAGGCGTGAACCGCGCCATTCGCTCTCACCTGGCAACCCTGTCTGCACGTCTCGCGCGCGCGTGAAAACCCCGTCGTAAACCCCCCAAAATTGAAGTCGACCGCCCAAAGCTGTCCCCCCCCCGCAAACTTTATCTTTAACCCTAGTGGGTGGATAACCTGTCAGACAGGCGGTCTCGCGGAATCTCGCGTTGACACAACCGCGGTGCGCGCCCTGTAGGTCGCCAGACCAAACCGCGCCGGCCTGGCCATGCCCGCATAGTGGACATTGACGGGTCCGGTCGGTTCCGCGCACGCTCATCGCCCGGATCGGCTGCGCCGCGCTGCTCTCGACGGCCTCTCGAGCGGGCGCAGCGCACACGCGGCACGGCGAAGGAGGGCGCGATACTCCACCGGTTCTTCGGCCGTCTGCCTCGGCGCACGACCCGCGGGGCACGTGCGCGCCTCGAGAAGCTCCGCCGCCCCGCCCGGTGCTGCCCACCCGCCTTCGGTGGCACCCGCCGACGCGCAGGCGCTCGCGCCGGGTGCGGCTCCTCGGCGACGTCGAGCGTGGTGCCCGACGGCTCAGGAGCCTTCTACCATCAACCACTACCACGGCCGCCACCGTCGGCGCCTTCGCTCGAGCTCTCCGAGGCCGCGTTCTGACCTCGTGCCGCGGCTGTCGTCGCTGCAGCAGCGACGAGGGCCGCGGCAAGGGGTGCAGCGGCGACGGGCGGGGCGGAGAGGCGCGGCCAGCTACCGGGCTGTTGCCCCCGCCTACCGCGTCGGGCCCCTGCACCCGGAGGCGGCTTGCGGCAGCCTTCCCGTGTCTCCGTGCGACCCGATGGGGTAGCCGGCCAAAACGCGCGCGTCTGTGAGATTTCCGGACTTTGAGTGTGCACCGCGGGAAATATCAAAGTGAGAGTGTACCAAAGTTAGTAGGTCATTTTGAAGGGTTGGTATAGGCCTTTCACTGGTGGGTAGCCCGGGCGTCGCGCGGTACGCGCCGGGCCGTCAGCGCCTTTCGAAAACAGCGACACTATCCACCTACTAGGGTTAAACCTCCATAAACATCATTGTGCAGGGGCTCCAGGCCCCAAATGACGTGTGAGTGTTAGAGTTGTTTGGTATTGCTAAAAATCTCTCTCAATGTGACGGCCAAAACGATCATGGGAGCTAGGGTGAGACAACAGGTCGGGGTGCCACACGGGGCACACCACAGGCGTATTCTAGAGGGGGGAAAGAAACGGGGGGTGGGGGGCCCCGCCACGAGAAGTGCGTTTTGGGGATGCAGAGCGTGCAAGGCGGCTAGGGATGAAGCCGCAAAAGAGGCGCGCGAGGCAAGTAGGAGCGCCCAGCGTTTCTCACTTTCCGGGACAGCCCCTGACAGCCCCGCCCTTGCGAGGCAGGAAGGTGACGACTACCCGTACGCCCTGTTGCTCCTCGCCGACCGCCCATCCACCCTCCGTTCCCTTTCTCCAACCAAAGATGGTAAAAAATGGCCTTGTTCGGCCCGGGGAGAGGGGGGGGGGGGGGGGCATGGGGGCCCGGGGGCCCATTGTTGTATGAGCGTCATCTTGTAGTGAACAGGCCGACATCGCGGTTTGAGCGCCCAGCGCAGGGGGGGTCCGGTCGGCGGCCCCGAAAAACCCCAAACCGGAGGGGGGGTCCGGGGTCGGTCGGAGGACGGAACCCAAACCCAGGGGGGGGGGTCCGTCGGGTTGGCTCCAGGGACAAGGGTCCCACCCCACATGCTCCCCGTAGCTGTGAAAAAATTAGTATCTCTAAATCCGGAACCAGCCTCCGGGGGGGCCCCCCGTTTCCATCCAAACCAAAGTTCCGGTTATAGAAAGAGAGGCTCAAGTGTAACATAAGGTGTCCACACACATACGACATACACATACACAAAGCAACTCTCACGACACACGGGCACCGGGTGGAGCGGCGGCGGCGGCGGCAGCAGCACGCGCGGGCGGACGGATTCGGACGGGGCGGAGCAGCGACCGCCTGGGCGGCCGCTGCTCTGTCTGCGCAGCGCTGTCAGGTGCACAGGGTAAGCGTGGCGGCGCGGGGACGCGCGGCGGCGGTGGCGAGCAGGCGAGCGGCCCGCGCGCGGCGAGGCGGACAGGTGATCGGCAGGCGGGTGATGGGCCGGAGAGTGACCGCGGCACCGCGCTCAGCGATCGGAGGCGAGCCGATCGTCCGGGGTCGCTCGGCCGCAGCTGAGAGACCTCGAAGGCGTGCGGAGCGCGACTGTCGGTGTCGGGGGGCGGCCGTCATGTGGCGAGGAGGGAGGACGACAAGTGCGCGTCGTACGGGTCGCTCTTCATCGCCAGTCGAGCGGCACTCAAGTCGAGACCGAAGGAAAGCATGACGGGTTTGAGCCAGGCCCTTGGAACGCCCGTGAAATCTGCTTTGGCGCCAAAGCTTGTGAGGTTTGCTACGAAAAGCGTCCCCAGTGGAAAAGGGGGCAACGGGGCGGCCAAATTCACACCTCCCGGGCCTCTTTATGTTTTCGTAAACGTAGTCGTGGCCCCCCGCTACGTCGCACGAGTGCAACCGGGTAGCGGGGGGCTATTAGTATCTCTAAAACTGAGTTGCTCATGAAGCGGCGTCCAGCACCCGGATCGATTGCCATTCGCTGTAGTCATTGGAAGGGACGATGCGCGCGTACTGTGGAGAACTGAGCGCTGCCAGAGCTTGTACAAAGAAACGGCAAGCAGGATCAGGCCTGCGACTGCGTGGATGCTCCACATATGTGTGTGGAGTCGGGCTCGCTCGGGCCTCGGCGAAAAAGTCTCCTTGGTGGCGCTTGGCTGCGTAAGTAACTAGTTTTCATGAAAAGTTAAACCGGCGATTTCGAAGCGCCCGACGCCCGTGGCGGTTCGCGAGAAGGAGGAAGAGGGTTTGATTGAGGGGGCTCACGGCAACGTCGCAAGCAAGGACACCGACCAGGGGGGGGTCGGTCGTCACACCTCCCGCCGCCCGCCGAGCGAGAGAGCGACCGACCGGAGGGGGGGTCCGGTCCACATCGGGGGCAGACCACCGACGGGGGGGGGGGTCCCCACGAAGTAAGGGGGGGGGTACAAAATGAAGCTCACATTAGCCATTTAGCCGGAGATTATAGTCGAGCGCGTCGGAAAGGTGTTTGAATGCAAAGAATGCAAGTTTCAGGTTTGCAATGCTGTGGTGGGTCTCCATTGTCCATGCGCAATGCTAGATGCGCGCGCCGACGCCATCGCTGTGCCGTCCTGGCGACGGCGGCTCGGCACCGGCCTCCTCTTCATCCTGGCGACGGCGGTCCTGGTCGCCCTCGTGCCGTCCGACGGGCTCACGCACGACGCCACCGGCGGCAGACGCCTTTCGTCCTCGCCGCCTTTTGCCTCTTCGGCGCCGCGGCATGTCCACCCTTGGGCACAAAGGCTGCACACGCACGCCGCCGAACCTCGCAGCACCGTCGCTCGTGAAGCCGCTGCCCGCGCAGCCGCTACCCCTGTCGAGGACGCGCCCCTCGTCGGCACATGCAGCCAGCCGCGCAACATCTTCATCGACGCCGGCGTCAACTGGTGCAATACGATCCGCTTATTCGAGGATATCGAATACGGCAAGAACGCGACGTTCGCGACCGCGCTACCCGCGCCGTACGACGTCTACGGCCTCGAAGCCTCTCCGCTCATTCAGCCCTTCGCAGAGCAATATTTCAGATGGCTCAACGGGCTGCTTGACGACGAGCCAGAGACGTGTCTGCCGCGCTCGGGCTCGACTGCGCACCTCAAGAAGTACTCGAGCGTGTACGGTTGCCTCCACGCCGATGCCAACAGGATGCGCCAGTGCATGTGGCAGAAGCTCACCAAGCATCTCAACGCTCTCAGGCCTGACCCAAGGCTCAACTCGTCGACGCTCATTGCGGAGCGACTTGACGGCGCGCGGCAGCAGTGCGGCCCGCCGCCGCAGAACCGCTTCACGTTCCTCCCGGCGGCAGCTGGCCACAGCGGCGACAACGCGTGGCTCGAATTCTACGGCCCGCCGCAGCAGCTCGTGCGCGGCGGCAGCATACCCAAGCAATTCGCGCCGCCCTCCTTGAAGGACGGGAGGTACGACTTTCGCGTAAGGGTCGTCAACCTGCCTTTATGGCTTGCGGCGTCCTTCACGACCTCTGACCACGTGGTGCTGAAGATGGACGTGGAGGGCTCGGAGCATGGCATCCTTGAGGAAATGGTGGGTCGCGGTATCATGGGCCTCATCGACGTGCTCTCGCTCGAGTGCCACGGTTCTGGTGGTAACTGCGAGAACCTCCTAGCTCGCGTAAGGCAAGCGCATCCGCGCATCAGGCTGCTTAAGGAGGGGTGGGATCACTCGGGTTATGATTCTCACTCAACGCTCAATAGCGATGAGCAGGCGGCGGTCGCAAAGGCGTGCGAGGCATTCGATCCAGCGCGCTTTACGCTGTCGCACCGCCCTACTGGACCGGCGACCACCCCTGGCCCTGCCGCGCTGCCCTAGCTCGTGCGCCAGTGCGGGCGAGCTTTTGTTAAGAGCCCCCAGCAGCAGCAAAAGTCATCAGGTACATTTTTGTATCTGCAATCTGGTAAAAATGCCTCAAAAATGTATCTGAATTGACTTTTTCTTTTATCTGAGAACGCTGAGTTGACTTTTCCTATTTCAAGCTGCGTCTGAGTCCACGGTCAGGCTCAGGGTGCCAGCCCCGGCCCCCCACCGTGTAAACCGTAAACGGACCTGCACCTGACACAGTACGCTCGGAGAACCCGTGTACTAAACAGTACGTTCTTGGGGGCTGCGCGTACAAGCCCAAACCTCAACTGCTCAGCATGCCAGAGGAGCGGCGGCTGTCAGTCACTGTCGCACAAATCCACGACGGCGGGCTCGGCGCGCGGCCTCTTCCCAGGCGGGCCGTCGCCAGGCGAGTCCACCCTCGTCCGATGGCGGTTCGTGCTGGGGCTGCTGCGCAGTCCGGGCTGCGCGACGGCAGGCTCGACCGCAGACGGTGAGCTGCCAGCAGCGCTCGCTGCCGACGGCGCGGCAGCCGACGGCGCGGCAGCCGATGGCGCCGCCGCCCGCAAGCAGCGCAGCAGCACGGCCCCCACTCGCCGCCGCGGCGGTGCGCCGGCGGCGGCGCGAGCATGGTGCGCAGCGGCGGAAAGCGCGATGTAGGCGCGGAGAGCAGGAATCCGCGTCTCCGCGGCCGACGAGAAGACGCGCGCCTCGCCGTCGCCCGGCCGCACGCCCTCCAAGACCAGCGCGTCGCGGGAGGAGACCGGGAAGACCTAGCGGAGGCGGCGCCACAGCTGTCACGCATCTGGCGCAGATAGCCGCGGATGCCACGAAGCGACGGTGCCGGGAGCTCGAAGCGGAGCCCCTCGTGGCCGAGGCAACCTCGCTCCCTCCAGCCCGAGAACAGGGGGCTCCGGCTGGCCGGCAGCAGGTGCGGCGGGCAGCCCTCATGGAACCTGCGCCGAGCGCGAAGCGCGTGTGAGAGGCGGGTGCGTGTCGTGGTTCGCAGCTCTCGCAGCTTCGTAGCACCAATGCGTGAGCGTGTGGGCGGTGAAGGCGTTTCGAGCGGCCGCGCAAGCGGCTGCCGACGTGCCAGCACTCAGACCCAGATTCTCGGACACCTCCGACGGCGTGAGCAAATCCGCCTATGGGGACATGTCTCGGACATGTCTTGGACATCATGTCGTGGACTCATGGACATCATGTCCGACGGCGTGCGCAGGCGAGCCTTGGAGGCGATGAAGGCGAGATCGCCGAGGTAGCCAGAGTCCAGCAGCTCTCTCCGCAGCGGCAGCGGGAGGAGTGACTTGGCGCCTTTGTCGTTGGCGGCGCGGTTGATCGACGAGACCAAAAGCAGACTGTCCGCGGCCTCCAAAACACGCTCGAGGACGCCGCTGCGGGAGGCGCTCTCGTCGGCGACCAGGCACGTCCCGCAGAAGCACGCCGCCGGCGGTGACCGCAAAGGGGCCGCGGAGGTGGACTCGGGCGACGAGCGGCCAGAGGTGCCTGGGAGACAAGTCTCCGGAGTCGTCCGAGGCGGAGGCGGAGGCGTCGACAAACGGCGCGACGAGATCCGCGAGGTCGGCGTCACCGCCCGCAGAGAGCTGCCGACTCGTGCCAAGCAGCTCGGCCACGTCCAAGCGAGCGAGCAGCGTGGTGGCGTCAGCGAGCGGAGAGCCGTACACAGCCGTGGCCCTCTCCCAGGACGCTTCAGCAGCGGCACTGCTGTCGCCGCCCGCCCTCGCATGCGCCTCGGCGGCGGTCACGGTCTCGCGCCACGCCTAATGGGACGTGTCTCGGACATGTCGTGGACACGTCGTGGACACCTCCGCCGACGGCGGCGACACCTCCTCCGCCACGAACTCGACCGTGGCGCTCCACACCTCGCCCCAGCTCGCGTCGATGACGGTGGCGGTGCACGCGGCGGAGCAGCTGGTCGGGAGTATCTCGTAGCCAAGCAGCGCGTTGAGCAGCGTGCTCTTGCCAGCGCCGGTGTCTCCGGCGACGATGACGTGGAACGGCGGCGCATCGGCGGGCGGCGGCGCAAGCAGCGCGAACGACTCGGGCTCGGGCGCTGCGACGGCGCCTCCTCCGCCGGCGAGGAGGCGGAGGCGGGTCTGAACGGCGCGAAGCCGCAGCTGCACCTCGCCGGGCGGGGCGCGGGGCAGGTTGTCTGGTAGGAGAACGGCTCGCAGCTCGGCCAAACTCATCGAGGTGGCGATCTCCAGCTCGGAGACCTCGGCCTGGTTCACATGTCATGTCGACGCGTGAAGAGACGCGGTTCTCACTCGAGCGGGCAAGCCTCGGAGGTCCCGGGCCTGCCGCATCGCGGCCTCCACCGCCGCCCTGGCCGCCGCAGGGAAATGAGACGCGACCCACCGGACGAGCGCCTCGCCGCTCAGAGCCGGCGCGCCGGCTGCGGGGGCCGAGGCAGAGGAGGAGACAGAGGCGGCCGCCTCCGCCGCAGCCTCCCTGGGTGTCAGCGGGTCCCGCTCGCCGCCCGCCGCCTCCAGCGCCGCGCTCAGCTCCTCCGCCGCCTCCTTGCCGCCCTGCTGCGCCGACAACAGCGCGCGCAGGAGCCTCTCGTACTTGAGCAAGTCGGCCGGCGGCGGCCTCTGGCGGCGCAACGCCTATGGGACAACATGTCTCGGACATGTCGTGGACATGTCGTGGACACCTCAGCCTCTGGCGGCGCGACGCCTCGACTCCCTCCCAGATCTCCTCGAGAGCGGCAAGCTCCTAAACGGTCAGGTGCAGGGCGGCGAGGTCAGGTAGGGGTCCACAAGCTGGTGAGAGGGGGGGGGGGCAACCCTCGCCTTTCCGTGCTCGTCGTACAGCGCGCGACTCGCCTCCTCCTCCCTCAGCTCGGCCGCGCTCGCCTGGCGGGAATGGGAAGGGACCCGGGACGAGTGATCGACTCAAGCCCGATGCGAGTGTCTCGACCAGCCCGGGTGCTCGCCTGCCCAGCTGCCGACTTCATGACCTCGAGCTCGCCTATGAATGAATAGTTCAGCCTTAGGCATTAGTTCTCAATGACTACTCTGCACGTCCTCGAGCTCGCCGCGGTGCGTGGCTGTCCGGCTCGACAGCACCTTGACCGAGAGCAAACCTTCGAGCCCCTTGGCTGCCGCCGCAACGGCGAGGGAGGTGTGTCCGCCGTGAGTGAAGGCCGGCCCGCCGAAGACCTGCGCATGACGTCTCATATGAGTTCACCTAGGAAGCTCATTTCGCCTACCACTAAAGGAGCACCTCCCGCTGGACGTCGCCCGATCGCTGGTCAAGAAACCGCTGCACGCGGTGGCAGTCGCGGCAGACGCTCCGAAGAGGCTCTGGAGGGGCGCCGACGCTGCCTGCAAAGGCACTGCGCCGCTCGTCGCCGCGGTCGCAGACCAAGCGCGCGTTCACAGACCAGTCCTTGAGCGGCGGCGGCCTCGCTCTCAGGGTGCTGCGCTTGGCGTCCAGCGCCGCCGAGAGAAGCTTGCGGAAGGCCGACTGCTGCCGGTCGGTCTCGTCGATGGCCTCGTGCAGCTTGAGCACCGAAGAGACGAGCACCTGTGTGGCGTCAGCCGCACTCTTTGCGAAGGCGACAGGGCGAGGAGGGCGAGGCGGCCGGGCCGTCATCACCTCGGTCGACCAAGCGCCAGACACGTTCTCGACGATCGCAGCCGCGACCCGGTCGCGGCAGGTGGAGAGGCCGTGAGTGCCGAACCTCCCCGCCGCGACGTACCCCAGCACCAGCGCCTCCTGCAGCTCCTAGGATAACGCAGACGCAGCGCTAGCGAATAGCGTCGGAAGTGGAGTCTCTACCTATGAGCGGCCCCCGAGATGCCTTTGCGCCAGCGCCGAGCAGCAGCCTCCCGATCGATGAGCGATGTACCGTTGCAGGCGCCTCGGTGACAGGATGGCGGATGGCGCCGAGAAGCAGTGCCAGCCACTCGCCGCTGCACGCCACCGCCGCCGCGTGCGCCTCGTCCGCCAAAAGCACCGTGATGGCCCTCAGCAAAGGTGCGCTGCATGGGCGAGAGGACTGCAGCGAGGGCAAACACCGCTCCGCCAAACCCATGACGAGGAGGAGTCCGGCGGTCTCGACGAAGCGAGGCGACGCAACCGAAAGGATCGGAGCATCTGCTCCCTCCGCCGCCCCCTCCGCCAACCTTGCGCAGAGCTGCCGCACTGACGAGTCCGCAAGGCTATTCCACGCCTCACTGTCGGGCGGCAGGTCCGTGCGCAAGCTCACAAGCGCTCTCAGGAAGGGAAGAGAAGCCGCAGGAAACCGCTGCTCGTTGTGCAGGATGGCGCGGGTGGCGATGCCACGCCGGTGCTGCAGGCCGCCTTCGGCCGCTGCGACCTCGATCGGTGCGAGAGTCCTCACAGAAGCCCGCAATGTTCGAGCCAGAGCGTTCTCTCCCCCTCCTCGAGACTGGACACTGGCCGCCGGCAAGCGAAGCCGTGGCTCAAGCTCCACGGCGAGGTTGACGCAGTGGCTGTCCGAACCCTCCTCCTCCACCTCGTCTCCGGCCCAGCTGCTGCGCGAGCATCAGGCAGTCCTCCGCCTCAATCTCTTGATTGGTGAGCCCGCCCATCAGGGCGCAGGTGAGCCACCGGCCGGTCGCCGGTGCGCGGATGTCGTTCCGCCAATCCTCTGGGCCACACCGCGGATGTCATTCCGCGCGGATGCAGGGAACACAAAGAGATCGAGAGCCAAGCCCCAAATCAGGACGCCAGCCGCAGCGGCCCAGATGACCGGCGGGAGGTCACAGCGGCTGTTGCGTTCGACGACCATCGGGTTGCGCTCGACATCGGGGCACACCACACCGACCGCACCGCACCGCAGCCACCGAAAAGCACCGGTCGGCCCCGGAGAGCTGGAGTCAGCTGTCGAGGAGGCGAGAGGCGAGCTGACTCGGCCCCTTAGAGTGGAATCGGGGCATATGCTCGAATATGCGCTCGCCGAGGGGAGACCCGTCGCAGCGTCAGCCGGACCATCATGATTTATGGCCGGGCGGGAAGCCCACAGCACCCCCGGCTCGTCGCGGAGTCTGGGGTGGCGGGGGGATATACCCGGGTAGAGAGGCCACGGAAGTGGAATCGGTCGTTTCGACGAACGACCTGGGAAATCGGCCCAGCTGCTCGAGGAGGCGCAGCGGTACGCTCCAAGGGTGTGAGGATGAGGGCGATTGCCGCCCTCCCCCCTTCGCCCACCTCGACGCCTTCGTGTAGGCGCCCCCGCCACGTGATGGTTGTTTTTTTTGGACTGCGGCGGCTTCTAAAATTCTTTTGGAAAAAGAAAGAAAGAAAACATACAACCCACACAGGGATTTTAAGGAGAGGTGTGTGGTGCGCTAGCCGTCGCCCACCCTAGGGAGTCTGCCTCTTCTTATCTCTCTTCGCAGTCTCTCTCCGCTTCTCGCTGCAACCTTCATGCCACCTCGCGGTCGTCCCACTCTCGTCGTTCTCTCCCTTGTCATTTCCTCCTCTGTCGCGTCGTTCTCTTCTGCCTCGTCCTGTGCCGCCGCCGCCTGCCGGTCCCTTGTTCTCGCGGCTTCTTTCGCCTTTCGGCGCAACTCCGTCCTCCTCGCGGCGTATCCTGGCCCCTCGAGTCTATCGAGCTCCCCTCGCGCAAGGACCACATTTCTGACTCCCACTCCGATCATTTGCCTACAGGTCATGTTGTTGCTCAGGTCCACTCTCTCTTCGAACACTCGTGCCTCTACGGATGATGCCGGCGCTGGGGTCCCCTTCGGATGCATCGTGACATCTGACAACTGGATTTCCACTGGTTCGTCCTCCTCGGAGTCATCTTCCCCGTCCTCCTTCCGCTCGGCTCTTCGCTCGGTACGTTCGGTGTGGCTCACCCTCCATGCCGTGAACAGGCGCTTTATCCACCCTAATTTCTTCTCTCGTTCCTCTGCCCGTGCCTTGGTCTTGTCGTTGTTTCGCACCCATGTCTGTATGGCAATCGAGGCTGCCTTCCCACTACCTGTAGTTCACTCGTCACCTCTCCTGCCTGCGAGCTCCCTTCTCTTTCTTTCGGGTATGGAGTCCGTGAGTGCGGGCAGCGTGCAGGCAATCACGGGCGCTATTTTGTCGTACTCCTCTTCGGCGAGCGCTCCAAATCTAGACCCTTTCGCCTTTAAGGAGGCTGCCCTCGCTCGTCTCAGGAATGTGGCGGTCGGTGTCTTTTGAGTCCGGCGCCTCCCGTTCAACTCTTGCTGTCGCCCTCGCTGTGTGTTTGTCGAGCTTCCGCATGAAGTGACGCGCCTCTTCCTTATTTCCAGCAAAATTTGGGTTCGGCAGTTGTTAAAAATAAATTTCTTGAGAGACCCCAGCTGAAGTCACCTCCTTGGCTGCTTCTGCAACTCGCCGCGCTGCATCCAATGGATGCCGTTGGAGCTCTCGTATCTCTCATGAGGGGAGGCTTCGACCGCGGTCTAGCCTATCGCCAGCTTGCGTGCTCCAGCCTCCTCGCCAGCCACCACATTCTGCGTGGGTCATTCACTGCCAATCGTTTGAGCTCCAGGTTTTGGCGGCGTTTTCCACCGTTGCTGCGTTCCTTCGCAGCGACGTCTCGGCGCTTGTGGGCGGCGGCTCCTCTGGTGTAACCTCGCAGCTTGTCGCTCTGGCAAAAGCGACCGACACAGCGCCCGTCGGGTACCGAATTGGGCAAGGAGCACTTGACACCGACACATCGCTGCTCTCTCTCTCTCTCTCTCTCTCTCTCTCTCTCTCTCTCTCTCCCTCTCCCTCTCCCTCTCCCTCTCCCTCTCCCTCTCCCTCTCCCTCTCCCTCTCCCTCTCCCTCTCTCTCTCTCTCTCTCTCTCTCTCTCTCTCTCTCTCTCTCTCTCTCTACTGCCTCTTCCTCGCTGCTCCACACTGCCGCTGCGTCCGCCCTCGTCTCGGACGCTTGCAGCTCTCAACACCCGCCGTTGACGGCAGTGAGCAAACGCAGAGACAGCCGTCAGCTTTTGCGTCTCCTACTTAGCGCCTGACGACTCATGCTCCACCGATCCCAGGGATCCGTTTTGCTACCTACGTGCCGAGCCGCTGCCTCTCAGGCTTTTGCCGTCACCTTTGGCAGCGGCTCGGTATCAACGGCCAGTGGAGGTGTCAATGGAGGTGGCCATGTCCTGCACCCGTGACGCCCAACGACCAGACTGGCTTCGTCTCCCGACAATATACCATAGCACTGTCACAGCAGTGCGTCAGCAAAGAGCACTCAGCAAAAGCCGTTAGCAAACAAGTGCGGTCGAAAGTGCGGAGTAACATACCGACGGGAGAAAAAGGGTTCAAGTGGCTGCGACGGTCGGGTCCAGCACTCTTCGCGGGCTGCCTCCACGACCACGGTCGTGCGACGGTCGGCGAGGCCTTGACAGTGGCGAGGACGTCCCACCAGCCATGGGCGGAGTGCGAAACTGGACAGACACTTGCTCGAAAGTGGACGGTCGTGCCACGCACTCACGAGAGGGAGTTCGAGAGGATCCATTCCTGCTCGCGGGCCTCCTCCTCGACGGTGGCGATGCGATCAGCGATCGATGGGGCCTCAACGGGCTCGGCCGCTCCTGGTGCAGGCGCGGGCCAGAGCACCTCGAGCTCCTGTGCCAAGGGGAGCGAGGCAAGGGTGAGGTGGCGGAGGAGGGCTATCATCCCAATGTTTCTTGGCTTCTCGCGCGCCTCGAGTCGCGGCATCGGCGCTCCCGGCATCGCCTCTCCTCGGAGCACGATCTCGAGCACGGCGAGCCGCTCGCGATCCGACGGCTCGAAGGAGGCTGCGGGCTGGCTGGCTGGCGGCGGCGGCTCGGGCGTCGTCGCCATGCCCTCGCCGCTGCCGCGCGGCCTCTTCGCGGCGCGTGTGTCCGGCTGCAGCAGCCGCTTGCTGCTGACAGATGCCGAGGTCGAGGCAAACGACGAGGGTGGCGAGGACGAGGAAGGCGAGGGCGTGGGCGCGAGCGAGGGCACGGGCGAGGCCGAGAGCGCCGGCGTCGTGGCGGACGCACCGCCGGTCGCCTTCCGCGCCTTCCGCTGCCGCGTCCACGCCTCCTTCGAGAGCGGCGACGGCAGCACGCCGCTGTTGCGCTCGAGCTCCTCGCGGAGGCGGTCGAGGTCGCCCGAAGCCTCGTACCCCTCGAGCATGGCCGGGCCGAAGAGCTGCGTGAACTCGAGCTGGTCCTCCGCGTCGCGCTCGCCGTGGCCGTACATGCGCTGCAGCCAGAGCGGGACGACGACCGACGTCGACCAGGAGAAGTCGGACTGCCAGTCCGGCTGCTTCCCCGCCTGGTTCTGGTGGAAGTAGTAGCGGAGGATCTTGAGCGAGCACCAGCAGCGGTCCCGGTCGTCGACGATGCCCTCCTTCCGCAGCGTCTCAAAGTCGCGGCCTCCGTGAACAATCACGGCGTCGAGCATGTCACTCGCCTTCTTGAGCGCCGACACGTCGAAGGCCTGGCCCATGAGCTGCTGAAACCCCATCTCGTTGTGCAGCGACTCGGCGAGCGCGCCGTTGAGGCTGGGAGCGACGTAGCCGACGCAGAGGCCCGAGATGTGTGGCTGCACCAGCTTCATGTCCTCCTGCGGTCGCAGTGCCGGAGGAGTGAGGCAAGGGTCGATGCGGAGGAGGGCTGCGGAGGAAACGGCTGCCGGCGGACCTGGTCGTACGCGCCGAGGCGCCAGCGCTTGAGGATGGCGCACATCAGCGCCTTCACCATCCACTGAGCGAGGTACTCCGAGTAGGTGCGCGCCTCGTCGTACATGGAGCGCGGCGCGAGGCCGCCGGGCAGCATGTACTCAAAGGTGCGCGTGACGCGCTCGATGGCGTCGGGAAGCTCGCAGATGTCGCGGACGGGGGAGAGGTCGAGGACCCAGTGCGGCGAGCCGGAGGCGGAGCGGAAGTAGTGGAAGTTGGCCACGATCGCCTTCCTGTCCAGCCACTCCCAGCCCCGGCGGCGTGCGCTGGCAGACGTCCCTCGGGCGTGCTGCGTGACGATGCGGACTTTGCCCGTGGCGAGCGTCTCCTCCCGCACCGTCCGCTGCGACACGTCCATGAAGTGCACGCCGAGGCCGATGCAGTAGACGATCTCTGGCTCGCCGCAGTCGTCGCACTTGAAGTGGGAGAGCACGGTGCACTTCACGCCCGAGACGCCGGGCTTCATGAACGGCGCACACTCGACCAACGTGTGCCCGCCCGGCAACGTGCCGCTCGCGTCGGCGCTGCTGCTGGGCGCCGAGTCGCCGCCGCCGTCGCTGGGCACCGCAGGCGCACTGAGCAGAACGACAGCGTCGTCGGGCTCCCACTCCCTGTCGCCGTCGTTGTACAGGACGTCGATCTCCACACCGCCCACGAGAGCTGCCTTGTTGAATCGGATGCCCATCGCTTTGCCCACGTAGGCCTTCCGATCGCCGGGCCACCAAACGCTCACCGTCGACCCCTCGCGCAGGCGCCGCACGAGAGGCTCGATGGCGCTGCTGCTGCCGCCGCCGAGCGACGGCGCTGCTCCCGAGCTGGCTGCTGCCGCTGAGCTCGTGGCGGCGACGAGCTCGACCTCCACCGCGCGCTTCCACTCCTCAACGCCGCCGTCGGAGGCGACCTTGACCTCGACCCCCTCCCCGCTGAAGCGGACCTCTTGCGCCGTGCCCAGGTAGGAGCCGACTTGCACCGCCGAGCCGAGCGACAGATGTGGCAGCGTGATGAACGCTCGATTGGCGGCGACCATGGCGACGGTCGCGGAGGAGTGGGATCCGGTGTGCGTGCGCCATGCGCCCATCAAACTCTCTGCCTGCTGCTCATTGGGCCCGTGGTAGAGCCCTCTCACCCCACCAGAACTGGGCCGCTCGCAGGTCCAGCCGGGCGGCGTCGGTGGCATGGCGGGAGGGGCGGGGACGGCGTCGCTCGCATTTGCAAGAACGGCGCGCTGTGCAGCTGCTGACTTGCCGGCCTGATGCACGCGCCTCTGCACAGCCAGCCCTTGCTCCCTGGTTCTGAAATAGGCTGCGATTTTTCCTTTCAAGCTGGAACTGCCGTCATCGCAGACGGGACGAGTAAGCCAGAGTGTCCAGCAGAAGGACCTTCTTCCATCATTTGCATTTTTTGATTCCGGCGCGTGCAGTTCGACCCACGACCAATAGGAGGACTCGTCCCGCGAGACTGCAACGGGCACGTGGCAGGATTCAATGCGGGGCTGTGGGATGTGGCGAGGGCAAAGAGGCAAGGGCAGTGGCGTGGGCGTCAGGAAGCCAGTGCGGAGCGGTGGCCGAGTGCGGGGTCCGGTGGTGGTGGTGCAGGCTGCAGATGCTCACCGTCGGAGTCACCGTCCATGTCTGGCGAGCAAGAAGTGGAGAACGGCAGGCTCGGCGCAGCTCGCAGTCCTGGAAGCAGGGCAGCATGAGACGGCTGGACGACTCAGCTGTGTGCGAGGCAACGGTTGGGCTCGGCCGTTGCGCTGACTGAGCGCTGGCGCGACCGCCGACTGGCGACTGCGTGAACGCTTGCGCTATGCTCTCTGGAGGTGTGCTGCGCGTGGAGCGGGCGAGGCGGGCGTGCGTAGCGCTCCTTCGCAGCGTCCGTGGGCTGGCCTGAGAGACAGCGCGGCGCGCTGCTGCTGCTGTTGAGAGGCCTGCGAGTCCGACTTCGAGCGTGCGCCTGGGTTGAGGCGTCGAGCGTGGCTGGGTCTTTGTGCGTTTCCGGGCTGGGTTGCGAGGGGCTGAGGGGACGTCGGATGTCATCACGCTCCTGTCTCCCTCTCCGCTGCAAGCACGAGCAGAAAATTAGTGTAGGATATAACAAGCCATCGACACACACGCGGTACGATTTGGCCCCAGACAGAAAAGGCACGGGCAGAAGCCGTCGCCCCCACCACAGAAGCAGTCAGGGTACAGGGCCCGTCTCGTTCTGAGTAGCAGCCCTTTTCCAGCATGCTGTCGATGAGCCGAGACGCCCAATCGACACGCGTCCGCACGCTGGGGAAGTTTTTGCCGTCCACCCATTCCTCCGCTCGATGGATCCCACCCGCTCGCGTGCAAAGCCTCCAAGCCGCTTTCCGCCATTGCCTCGCAGAAGCACGCCCGAATCGATGCCTTCAGCGCCGGCCAGCCGTGGAGGCGAATAGCGTCCGCGAGATGACGTGACACGTGCAAGGCACCCAAGCCACAAGGTGAGACTGCCAGGCATTTTGCTGCTGTCTCCACGACCCTGCTGCAATCACAAGCGGAGACGCCGGGCCGGGCAGCAAGCTCGAGCAGCTCGAGCGACGGATCGAGCCGAGCCGTGCAAACTTTCAGCAGGGAAGACACGTCCTTGCTCCCGGCGAGCGACGCCTCGCTGGGCGCGCGGCCGGCTTCGACCTCGTCGAGCGCAGCGCGGAGCCGCGAGATCGCAAACTCAGGCGGCAGCACGCCCAGCCTTGACGCGCGGGGCCACAGCACAAGAGCTTCTCGAGAGAAGCGCTCCACGAACGGCTCGGTCTGGGGCCAGACCATGCCGCCGCCCTCCGTGGCGTCCGGCTTCTCGCCCTCCCAGTAATCGGCCTATTTCACCCACGAACTCTATTAGTCCGTTCTCGCCCTCGCGTTCATGAGCTGAATACCAATCAAATCTCGTGCTAGACGAGCGCCTGAGCATACTCCGTGCCGTCGAGCGAGAGCAAAGCGCAATGCTGCGGAGTCACACCAGCCGCGGCGAGGCGGTGCGGAACCTCGTGCCAAACGACGCTCAGGTCGATCTTGAAGGGCGGCCCATGGCTGTTCAGCCGAGTCACGGCGCGCGTCAGAGTCGCCAGCAGCACGTCAAAACCCGCCTCGTGCAGAGCAGCGGAGAGCGCGGCCCCGTCACCCTTCAGCGAAGCCAGACTCGTCGCCGCGGCGCCGGCGGCGTCGCGGGGGAGAAAGTAAACGAGCTTGGAGGGAGGCGCGACGCCGCTGCCGCTGCTTGGCTGCGCGGTGCTGCTGCCTTCGCTGCTGCCGCCTCGCCGCGACGCCTCCCAAACGGTGGCCAAGCGCGCGAGCCGCTCTGACGCCGAAGACTGCGACGGAGGGAGGGGCACCGTGCCGTCCGTTCGTAGGTCGTAGATCAAGCTCAATCGGTGGCCTTGGGCGGGTGGATGTCGCGCGCTCTCGCAGCGTGCGTAGAAGGCCTAGTAAGCCAAGCTGATTGTGGGACAGTAGTTGATCAGTCGCCTCACCGGAGCGGGAGAACTCGGCCTCGACGCGCGAGCACCGCGCCGCAGCCGCCGGCTCCGCCTCTTCAAGCAAACACTGGTGCCGGCGGCTGCGGACAACCAACGCGCCCCCCGAGCGAACCGACGGCAACGCGACCTCCAGCTGCGCAAAAATGCCCTCACGCAAGTCTGTCGCGGCCGAAGACGACGGCGGTGCGCTACCAGCCGAGCAGAGCCGCAACCCTCGCAGGACAGAGCTGACCTCCGTCGTCTTGTCGACACCGAGCGCCCTCAGCGCCTTGCGCACAGCCGGCCGGAGAGACTCCTCCCACTCTTTGATCGCCCCCAGCTCCAGCCTCTCAGCCCTGACCCAGACGCCGCAGCCGTCCGAAGCTGGCTCGCCCAGCGACCGGAGCGCCTGCGCGTGCGCCTCTGGCAGCGGGAAAGCGACCGGCTCCGCCATGCCCTCCGCCCGCAGCAGCGGCGGCACAAAGTCCACCGACGCCGCGTGCGCGAGAGTGCCTATAGCAACGTTCCTAGAGGGCTCCCACAGAAGGCTCGTAAGTCGAACGACGCCGCGGTGGCAAGCGGACCAGACGGCTTGAGGCTGGCAACCACCCGCAATAGGCGCCTGCGCACGTCTGCCTCCCCGCCCTCCTCGTCGTCGCTGCCACCAGCCGGCGGGAGGGCGGGCAACGCCGCCGCGAATGCCGCGGCGTCAGGCGCGGGCTGCGGCGCAGGCGGCGGAGCGGCCGCCGCCCCAGCATCCAGCGCCGAGCCGTACAGCCGCGCCAGCTCCTCGTCCCCTCGGACTGCGGCGGCGATGTGCCTCGAGAGCAGAAGCACGCGCGGCGAGCACAGCTCCGCCTCCGCCGCAGGCCGGTAGAGCACTCCTGTGGGGCATGTCATGGAGCAGTGCATGGTCATGGACGTGCCATGGACACCTCCGCCGCTGGCTGGTAGAGCTCTCCTCCCGGCGGCTGCGGCGACGCCTCTTCGTACGCTTCTCTGCCGGCAAGGTACGGCTGAAACCCCGGCTGCTGGGTGCGGCTCCACTGCTCCCGCCTGCGCAGCCGGGGCGGAGGGCGGCTCTGGTGGAGGAGGAGGCGGCGGCTGGCTGTCCTCGAAGATGAAGCTGTCGTGGCCCGCGCGATCGCCTGGCGGCTCCACCTCCATCTCGTCCTCCTCGCCCAGCGAAGCCTCCTCCTCGCCCGCCTCGACGGAAGAGGCGGCGGCAGAGGCGGAGGCGGTGGAGGCGGCGGGGTCGGCAACGGCTCGGAGGACGTAGCGAAGGTCGTTAGCGGCCGACCGTGGCTGGCTGGCCGGCTGCCCAAAGGTCACCACGCCGCCTTCTCCCACCACGGCGCTCGCCGCCGCTTCCGCCGTCGAGAGGAGGAGAGTGGCTGAGGCGCCGTGCTGCACTCGGCAGCCGTTCTTGCGCGAGACGTCCTCGATGCGTACGCTCCTGCCGTCCTCGGAGACGTGGATGACGGCGTGTCGCCGCGAGATGTGCCCAGCGCTGAGCGAGATGGTTTGTGAGTCGTCGCGGCCGACGGTGAGCTTCGCGCCCGGTGCGAGCGCAATTCGCGAGGGCCGGCCGGCGCGTGCGCCATTCACCGTGCTCACAAGAGCGAGCTCCATCGCAGAGCGGTGTTTGGCGACGTATGGAGAAGGGTCACGACAATGGTCGGAATGTCGATTGGAAGTGGAGAGCGCGCGAGGAAGAGTCGCCCGCGCTGCCTTTTTTTTACGAGGTTCTCTCGTCTCGAGGTTGTTCGAGGGGGATATCCTTTGGCCGCGTTGGGTAGCGAGGATTGGTGTGACGCGATCCACGCAGGCGTGTTTTCTGACGGCCGACCGACCGTCAGTGCACGGAGTTGCCCCTTCTCCGACTGCCCCGGCTAGTTCCCGAGGTCGTCGGGTGTGACCCCTCCCTGCCTGCGTCCCCCGCCCGAGACCTAGCGCGGGTGGGTTGGAGGGGGCTCGCTGCAAGGAAAGGCGGTGTAAGAAGCCAATCCCCGTAGTCCGCCCCGCTCCTCCCCATCGGGCCGCATAAGCGGCCACGCCTCGCAGATTCGTTTCTCGCGCCTGGGTCAGGCGCGCGGGGCATCCCCCGGGTCTGCAGCTGCTGTCGAGCCGAGGCGGCGGCAGCCGCCGCAGCTGCACCGCCTCCCGTCGCGCCGCGGTCGCCGCTCCCTCAGCGCCGTCTCCGCGTCGTCACCCGCCGTAGCTTCTCCTCCGCCGCCGCTGCCCGCCCCCGAGAGTGCGGCGGCGGTGTGAGTGGTATAGTCAGGGTATAGTGCAAGGGAGGCGTGTGTGCGTGTCTGCCGCAGATTGCTGCCGTTGTCTGCGCCGCGATCCGCCCCGCCGCGGGCGCCGCCGCGCCGCCGCCGCCTGCGCTCGCCGCCGCCTCGTAGACGACTCCTCTCCGGAGAGCCGCGCAGCGGGCCGCGAGGTTGAGGTCAGAGAGCAGCAGGGTTGAGATCACAAAATCGGCCAATTTTGAGGTTGCTCGAGAGAGCCTGGAAATGGTCCCGCGCCGTAGCCCCGGTGCCGGCGCATCACGTCTCAGCCGCGAGGGGCCGGTTCTGCCGCGCAGTCGAGCAGCAGGAGCTCAGGGGCAACTTTGTCGACAAACAGGTTGAGGAAAATTTCGGCGAAGACTTACGAGGACACCGATCCGAACGATAAGGTGGGCCAGCTCACGGGCCGCGCCATGTACATCGTCAATCCGGTGTATGACGTTGACGACAACGCGGCGTTCAAGCAGCTCATGAGCGACAAGTTCTACCAGAACCCGCGCTACTTCAAGGACCTCGGATGTGGGCGGTCCGCGCGCCGAGCAAGGAACTGGCGGTGATGATGCGCCTCACGCCGCCATCCTCGCCTCACCTAATCTCCGCACCACGGGCAAAGCGGCTCAACCCCGAGCTCGACGTCTCGCCCATGGACAACCCGGCCATCAAGCCACTCGAGTTCACGCTCGTCATGTCGGCGACGCAGTTTGAGACGAAGGAGAAGGGCCTGCTCCCGCCCTCGCTCGTCACCGTGGGCAAGAACACGTATACGAAGTCAAGGACTACGTCAAGGCCAAGTTCCCCACGGTCGACTACGTGGACCTCGTCTTCCCCGGCCCGGAGGGCCCGAAGAGCATCATCAAGACAGCCTGGGTGCTTCCCATCGCCGCCCAAACCGCCTGGACTGGCACCCTCGAGGTGGATCTCGAGTTCTCGACGCGGAGGACGGCGACAGCGACGAGAGGAGGACAAGCAGGACGGCAACGCGCTCGTCGACGACGAGGCTGAGGAGGAGGAGAAGGAGGAGTAGGATTCGGCATGGCGCGTCTATTTCTTGCGAGACGAGAGCGGTCGGAGGACTCTTACGTCGGCGCGAGCCCCAGACCCCGTCCGACGACTGCGCCAGCACAACGGCGAGCTCTCGGGAGTGGCGCGCCCGCCGCGGGACGGCCGTGGCGCATTCTGCTCGTTGTGCGCGGCTGCGCGGCTTCTACTCGAAAAGCGATGCAGTGGGCGTGGCAGAAGCCGCACACGAGCCGGCACATTGCGCGACAGTGGGGTGTGTGAAATTTGTCGACCGGCCAATTGTTGAGACGCCCGTGAATACGTTGCTGAACTCTGTTTCCCCTTCCCTAGTTGGCCCAACGGGGTCAAACCTGCATTACACGAGAGCGTGCTCGACAGAGCGACAGCGCAGCGCACTGCCGTCCAGTCGGCGAAGGGACGGCTGCTGCGCAAATTCTATCTAGCATGAATGTACCGGGGCCCGACGGATAGATGAATCCGGGGCACCCTCCGCTCGAATCCCTGGCTAGGGGTTCGAGGTGGCCCCCACAAACGGCCTCCCATCAAAGGGTGCGGCAGAAGACGCGTCACCGTGGCCCAACGGGGTCAACTGCATCGAACTGGTTCAAACAGACAAACCCAGACGAGGGATGGGGGAGGAGGACAGGGTCCCCACCTGCACGAGCAGGATTTTGGAAGGACGATCAGGGGGACAGGTGGGGCTCTCCTGCTCCTGACAAGGGACACGACAGGCTCGAGCGCGGTGCACAGGTATGAGAATTCTTTTTCCGTGCGGCAGAAGACGAAGACGCCCGCGTCCTCCTCCTAAGACGCCCCCGGCTCACCATTCCTGCGATGAAGGGCACGCACCGGACCTGGTATCGCTCAGACTATCGGCCGCCTCCGCGCCCCGCCCGGCCCGCCCTTCCGCTCGCCGCCATTCCGCCGGCCGCCCTCGCCGCCATTCCCGGCCGCAACTCTCGCGCGCAGACGCGGGGGCCTTGGGGGGTCGGGTTCAAGGGGCGTAGGCGGCGGCGCAAGTGCTGGCGGCCGACGAGCGCGGCCTACAGCCGGCGCGCCTACAGCTTGCGCCACGCCGCCACCCCGTCCCTCGCCTCCCCCTTCAACCTCATCCCGTACGGCAGCAATCTCCCTTCGGACGGAGGGGAGCCGGCCGACTGCGACAACCTGGGGTGGCTCGACCCGTGGGGCACGATGCTAGGCGAAGACCTCGCCGCCCCCCCGCGGGCGGCCGACGAGGCGGAGCCCGAAGCGGCCTTCTGAAAAGGGAGCGCGCAGAGACGACCCTCTCCTCCCCCCCCTTCTTCCGGGCCTTCGTCTCGGGGCCCTCGATCCGGACCCTTTCTTCCGGGCTCGCCCCCCCGCCCCCGCCAGCCCCACGCGCGGTGGCATCAGGGCGCGCGCTACCCGTCACAGGCTTCACGGAGGCCTCCTTCGGCCAGAAGCCAGTCGGCGGGTGCCGCGCCTTGCGGGCGTGCAGCGTCTCCCCCCTCTGCGCCCTTCTACGCGAGGGGAGGAGGTGAGCAGAGCGCTCGCGCCCTGCCCGCTGCCCGCGTGCCGCCTCGCCTCCCCGAAGTGCGGTGCGCTTCCCGGTGGGCTGACCCACCTCCGTTGCTTTTGCAGCCTGCCACGCGCCGGCCAGAGCGTGGAGCCCGCCGGCTGGCTTCTGCCTCGCCAAACGGGACGACGCCGCGCCGCCCGCCCGCCCGCCGCCAACCAGCAGCTTTGGGACGCCTCGAAGCCAGGGCACGGTGGCCTCCCGGCCAGCGCGCCGCGCCGCGGGAGAGTGCTTGCCTTTTGCCAGTCTTGCGCTATAGCCTTAAGGGTTTAAATTTCTTTTAACAAAAGAAAAAAACGGCAACAGGGGTTGGTGAACCACGAACTAAATTTCTTCTCCTCCGGCACCACGGCCCGTACTGCACGACGCCGCCTCGAGACGCAAGCGTCCTCGAGATGGCGGACAAGAAGGCCGCGCCTCGCCGCTTCGCTCCCAACCTGAACGCACGGCGCGACAAGAAGGAGCGCGACGCGAGCCACGCCCTCCACCGGCTGCTGTATGACGGCTCTGAGGCTGCTGAGGCTCAAAGCACCGGCAGAGGCAGGGGCGGCCGCGGCAAGGGCGACGGCCGCGGCAAGGGCGACGGCCGCGGAGGCAGTTCGAGCGGCGCCAGCAGCGGCCGAGGCGGGATCCAAGGAGGCGTCGGCGGAAATGCCGGCGGTGCCGGTAGCCCCCGGCGCAGCGGTGCCGCCGCAGCCTCCTCGTCCGCTGCAGCCGCCTCCTCCTCTGCCGACCTTTCGCGGACCGGCGGCTACCAGCTCAAGACGATCAAGATCGAGGAGGACGAGGTCGACGACCCCGGTGGTCGCGCGAGCGGTCGCGCGAGCGCCGACATCGAAGACGGCGCCAGCCACACGCCCGGCGGAGCGGAAGCTCGCCTGCCCCGCGGCGTTGGGGGAGGGAAGGGAGTGACGCCTCCGCGCTGTGTCCCACCCCGCAGGGCCGGCGTCATCGGAGTGGCTCCTCGGCACGGACGCCCCGATCGCGCTGCCGCTGCGCCCGTCTGCGGCCGCCCTCGCGCGCACTCCTGCCACCGCCGCTGAGGTCAGACCGCCGACTATTTCTAGAAATGGTCTGACTCGCCACCGCCACCGTCTATTTCCCCATCACCGCCTCGCCCATCCTCCTCGCCATCGCCACCGCCACCATCTGTGTCCCCTTGCCCACTGCCTGGGGACACGGGTCGTTCCGTGTCTGCGTGCGTGTGTCAAGAGAGAGAGAGAGAGGCAGCGGGTCGAGGCTGGAGCTCCTCAGCTTAATTAGTTAATTAGTTAATTAGTTAATTAGTTAATTAGTTAATTAGTTAATTAGTTAATTAGTCGAGGCTGGAGCTCCTCAGCGACGCAAGGTGGTCAGCGGCACTGGTCGAAGCTAGGCCCCTGCCAAGGCCCCCTTCCCGGCTGGCTCTGCCGCTGCGGCGATGCTCTGCGACGAGGCGACACTTCCTAGACCCTTCCTAGACCCTTAGACCCTTCCTAGACACTGCGAAGACACTTCCCAGAGGATGCTCTGCGACGAGGCGACACTTCCTAGACCCTTCCTAGACCCTTAGACCCTTCCTAGACACTGCGAAGACACTTCCCAGAGGATGCTCTGCGACGAGGCGACACTTCCTAGACCCTTCCTAGACCCTTAGACCCTTCCTAGACACTGCGAAGACACTTCCCAGAGGATGCTCTGCGACGAGGTGACACTTCCTAGACCCTTCCTAGACCCTTCCTAGACCCTTCCTAGACCCTTCCTAGACCCTTCCTAGACCCTTCCTAGACCCTTCCTAGACCCTTCCTAGACCCTTCCTAGACCCTTCCTAGACCCTTCCTAGACCCTTCCTAGACCCTTCCTAGACAGGCGGGGGCGCCGCTGGGGGCGAGCAAGCCCTCCAGGGCGCCGGCCTGAGTGGGCGGGCAGCTGCTCTTCCTGTAGGCGGGGACACTTCCTAGACACTTCCTAGACTCTTCCTGTAGGCGGGGGCGCTGGTCGGCGAAGGAGGCAGCAAGCTCCTCTTCCTGCAGCGGCTGTCTAGGAAGTGTCTAGGAAGTGTCTAGGAAGTGTCTAGGCAGCAAGCTCCTCTTCCTGCAACTGCCGACCGCGCTGCCTCTCCCCAAGCCGTCGGCGGGCGGCGGCGGCGAGTCCCCCCCCCCCCGTCCCCCCAGGCCGGGTGGCTGCCTTGTGACACGTCCGGGACATGTCCCGGAGTGTGTCCCCACAGGCGACCCCCCGCCCGTCAAGGCGAGCGAGTTCCTCGCCGCTCTCTCGCACGCCAGCGACTACGCCGACCCCGCCGCCGACACCGGCCTCGCGACCGCCAGGCGAGATGAGCCCGAGATGAGCCCGAGATGAGCCCGAGAGCTATCGCCGCCAAACCGAAACCGCGGTCCGCCACCGAACCGACACCCGGTCACCACAGGCAGCTCTTTGACGACGACGCGGCGGCGGCGGGCTTGCGGGGCGAGGTGGAGGTGTACCGCTCGGGCAAGGTGGTGCTGCGCGTGGGCGGCGTCGGCCTCACCGTCCAGCCGGGCGCCGCCTGCTCCTTTGAGCAGGAGCTCGCATGCCTCGTCCCCGCCGCCGCCCCTGCGAAGGCGCCCGCGCCCGGGGACGACGACGAGGAGCCGCCGCCGCCGGTCGACCTGCACCGGGTCGGGCGGGTGCACCAGCGGCTCGTCGTGACGCCGGATGTGCCCGCGCTCCTCGAGCAGGTGAGGGAGGAGAGGAGGGCGGTCGCGGCCGCGCCCCCCAGCTTGCCTGCCGCCGCCCTTGCCAAGCCCAAGGTCAAGGCCGGACGGCCGTGATTGTGAACGGGAGTACAACGCACAACGCAAAATGCAACGACGGAATTGACGGAATTTTTTCGTAGATCAACCATTTCAGCGCCTTTCCCCCCCCTGCCCGCGTGCCCTCTCGCCGCTCTCCTCCACACCACCGACACTCGCGCAGACCGCCGCAGTCAGCTCAGAGTCAACCGACACGGAGCCGCGTCGGCTTTATTTAGCAGAGCTATACGTGTGTGGCGTATACGTCTCGGTGCACGGGGTAAATAAATAAATAAATAAAAACGGACACGCTGGGTGCGCTTCTGAGCTCCCCGGCCCTGGATGTGAGGCTGCCGACTGCACTCCAAGTGCTCCAAGGACACCTCTACTGTGAGATGGGTAAAAAGGAACAGGTCCCCGCCCTTGCGATCTTTTTGTGCAGGGTTCTTTGTGGCACGGGGTGGAACTTAGGCTGTAGTCCGCATGTTTCCTCGCGCACACCCCGTCTCGTTTCCTCTCCGTATTTCTCCACAGCACCCTCTCTCGTTTCCTCTCTAGTTTCCCGAGGAAACTCCGTGGAAATCAGCTGGTTTGGGCCCCAAATCGGCCAAATACCGGGTTATTTTGCCGATTTCCTCGGTTTCGCCTCAGATTTTGGTTTTTGCCCCAGACCAGCTCTCAGACTCGGGGAAACTCGAGAGTTGCCAGAATGGAGCACCAAACATCCTCTAGTTTCCCTGGAAATTTCCGGAAACGCAAAGACCAAAGTGCTGGGGACCCTCTCGTTTCCTTTTTGGTTTCCGGAAAAATGGATAAAGGTGGAACCTGGAACGTGTGTGCGTGCTGCGACCTGCGTGTGCGTCCACTACACGTAACACGACGAGGCACTTGGAGCACTTGGAGTGCAGTCATTAGCCTCACATCCAGGGCCGGGGAGCTAAGAAGCGCACCCAGCGGGCCGGAGGCCATCTGCATCTCACATCTGTGCATCGTCAGGGGCGGCCGTTGGATTGTGCCGGCAGCCAAACTCCATTGATGAGCTGCATCCCGGTTGAAACATGCGGTGACACGCGGTGACACGACACGAAATGAGTGCGAGCATCGTGCGGTGCGAGCGGCAGGGCACAGTGGTCGTGACCGCGGTGACGCTGCCCCCTTACTGTGCGGCAGCTCACGAGCTAGGCGCCTCCGCCGATGCTAATGGCGTTGCGCCGTGCATCGTCGTCTCAGCTTCGCTCAGCGCCAGCTGCCGCGAAGGTGCCCACGTGTCGCTGCATGAGGATGCGTGGGCCGGTTGGGCTCCGTCTCGCCGATGCGACTCGCCGCGCTGCGAGTGGCCCTGCGGGTATAGGCAGGTGTGGGTGCTCAAGACGCGCCTGGTCAGCGAAGTGCTCACCTCCGGCCGTGATGCACTTGTGGTGGATGCAGACTGGCGCTTTGTCGCGAGCCCGCTATCATTCTATCGATCGCTGCCGCGCGTTGCCATCATCGGCCTGGCGGATCGGCCCACTGCCGAGGGGCATCTGATCAACTTCGGCCTCATGCTCATCCGTAGCGTACCTTCGACCCGCCGGCTCTTTAAGCGCGTCGCCAACCGCAGTGTTGTCGGTGAGTGCCCTTGCGACTGGAGCTTTGGTTGCTCTGCTCCGGCTCTCCGACCCTCCCTCTCTGCCCTGGTCTACCCAGGCTGGGACCAGCTCATTGCCAATGAAGAGCTATTGCTCTGGTCGGCGGACGGCGACTCCGACGCGGACTGCTGCGCCGCCAACCAGCAGCTCAGAGACTTCTTTCGGCGGGACGAGCGCAGCCATGCGCTCAAGGTGTGCTGACCCATGATCCGAACCCCAGAGGCCCTCACCCTCTAGTCCTAACCCCGGGCCCTAACCTTGACTCGCACGTGTCCAAGGTGGCGTATCACCGCGAGGGCAGCCATTGGGTGAGCGGTCTAGGTCGAGTGGTCTAGACTGCCGCGCTGCTCTCACGGCACGTACAGACCAGAGCGCTCTCAGTCGCTAGTGCGTAGCCCCCTGAGATGACGCAATGCCGCGGTGGCAGGACAATATGCCATTCTGCGACGACCCCGGAGCCTACGGCGCGCTCGCACCGCCCCCGCTTGCCGCATCGCTCGCCTTTTCGCGATGGGAGCCAAACGCCTTCAACATGCACAAGCGCCGCCCGCGGCTGCGGTGTGCCAGCACAGCCTGCGGCCCTCCGCCCAATGTCGGTGCGGGGTCGCGCTCGGCGGGGACGGGGTCGGCGGCCGTGGACTCGGCCTCGGTGGCGCACACGGCGGGCATCGTGGCCGCGGCGCAGGGCGGGCCCAAGCTCCGCATCGTCGCCCACTACAAGTCTGGCTTCCTTTCCTCGTTCCAGCTCCTCGCCGCCGTCTGTTGCACGCCCCTCTCGGTCACCTCAACGCACAACGCCACGGGGACTGGCGCAGCCAGCTGGCGCGCCTGCCGCCAGCAGTGCCCTCGCGTGCGCCAGATATCGCACGAGTTCAACCTCGGCGCACCTCTGCAGCCCCGCCAGACCGTGGTCCACTTCCTTCGACACCCCATCGACATGCTCGTCTCGGGCACCATGTGAGCTGCTCCGCCGCCAGGCGCCTCGCAATCAGCACCCCGGTGAGGCTCTCAGCCGCCGCTGCCGCCACAGGTATGCCCTGAATTGCGCCGAGAGCTGGATGCGCGTTTGGCCGCCGCCGAACGCGGATGCCGCCAAGTTGGCGTGAGGAGCTCAAGAAGGAGGATGTCACAGTGCTCTCCGGGGCGGGCGCCACCGAGGGAGGCGGCGACGCCCCCCGCATCATCTTCGAGGTTGAGGGAGAGGCGACCACACGCAAGAATTGGCCAGGCGCGACCATGTACCCAGCCGTTGCGGGCAGCGCAGACGCCGACACCGTCTGGTCGGGCAAGTGCAAGCTCATCATCGACCACATGCCACGCGGCTGGCACCGGTATGGCATAGACCCCTACGCACCGACACGCTCACACCCATATCCACGAGGCTGGAGGTTAGGTAGGAGGTGAAGGAAGCCTCGAATACTTTATCTCCGCAAGGCTGAGTCGCTGTAGAGTGCTTTGGTGCGGGGTGACTCGTTGTTGCATGCCGGCCCAGTGGCTTTTGCTGGCGGCCCAGTCGCTTTTGCTGCTTCTCGGATGCTTGTCGGTCGACGCTCACTCGTTCAAGACTTGCACGAAAGCTGATCACGTGCGTGTACCGCTCGCGCGGAACAGACGTAGCTTCCGCCAGGTCGCATTGATCTACCGCAATCGATAGGTGCACGCTTCGCACCTGATCCTGGTGCCGGACGAGCCGGTGCCCGGGAAGGATGTC